TTTCTACTGAAAATCCTCCAGTCAGGTTTACTAAAATAAATAAACTGTTATCATAGAGATATGTCTCCCTTTTTGGTAATATTTATAATGCATATGTTGAAATTAAAATAGCAACACTTTAACATGCAAGTTTTGCAAATATTCAAAGTCCATGAACCATGACTGAAGGTACATGGCTAAACAATCTCCATGGAAATGAGATGTGCCAATGCTAATACCAAATACCATTGACTTATCATAATTCCCTTTAAACAAACTTAAACACAAACTAATACATGTAAACTAAGCAAAATGTCAAAGTCAATAAACCATAACTGAGGGGCAAGGTCAAATAATCGTTGTGGTAATGTGGTGTACAAATGTTATGACAACTGCATACCAAATATCATTGACCTACCAATAGTGGTTCCCGATAATTACAAACTAATGCACGAAAACTAAGCAAAAGTTTAAGTCAATAGACCATGACTGAGGGGCGGGGCCAAATAATCTCCATGGAAATGACATATGCCAATGCTTATACAACTGCATACCTTAAAAAAGCTTCTTATTATAATAAAAAAAGCACCATCGTATAATAGAAAAGCACCTTCGTATAATACAAAAGCACCATCGTATAATAGAAAAGCACCATCGTATAATAGAAAAGCACCTTCGTATAATAGAAAAGCACCTTCGTATAATAGAAAAGCACCATCGTATAATAGAAAAGCACCATCGTATAATAGAAAACCACCTTCGTATAATAGAAAACCACCTTCGTATAATAGAAAACCACCATCGTATAATAGAAAAGCACCTTCGTATAATAGAAAAGCACCTTCGTATAATAGAAAACCACCATCGTATAATAGAAAAGCACCTTCGTATAATAGAAAAGCAATAAAAAAGACACATAAGACAGCTATGGCGTTCCATAGAAAACCTACAAAGAGTATATTCTTGTTGTAGGGTGAATTACTATGATACACGAACAATAAGGATAATCGATTAACTGTTAAGACATAATAAGCATTACGAGAAGTGCATGACCTTGTGCAATTCCAGCACATTTCTGTACTTATATCGATTTATCTTTAGTGGCCTTGACGTATTGACTTCATCATAAATAGGAATCTTCCTGTCATAATCGTTCTGTTTGGTTCCAATCCAATGTAACGTTCTGTAGTTACACCTGGAAACCACCTATTACACTAATTTTAGTATATTTTTAGTAACCTTTACCTTGACATTGGAAGCAATAATTGATAAATAATTGATAAATCTTCTATCATTATATGTGGCCAAAAATGCAATCTGACTAAAATAATTAAGATACTGTAATTTGTAAGCAAAGTTTGAACACAGGATCTGTATTTGAATCAGATTGCCAAAAATGCATGTTCGTTGCAATCCTATGCAAGTTAAAGAGTTAAAACATCTGCCTGGAACACTCTTCTCTGCACTTGATTCAATTTGTTAAACTATGACCTTGACATTTGACATATGAATAGTGTCCATTTCCTCTTTGTGTACACATTTGACAAAAAATTTTTGTCCATCTACTCTTTATGTTACCATACATTTATCTGATCAATCCCATGTAAGATTCTAGAGTTATAATCTGAAACTCATTTTCTGTACTAATTTCTGTCTTTTTTTTTTATTAACTTTGACTTTGACCTTTTGGACTTAGTGACCTCTATTTCGTAGTGTGGGTGTTATAATTATGGTGGAAAAACAATCTTTTTAATTGGTACTTTAACCTATCAACTCAATCTCAATCCAGAAACAATGTATGCATATGTATATACTAGTGAACAAATATATTAAAACCAGAGAAGAATTTTAGCCAATTTGGCCATGTAATATGTATAGATTATTACATGGCATTTTTCATATCAGACCCTTTATCGGCCCTAGGTCATGATATCAGCCCAAGAGCCGCAGGCTCGAGGGCTGATATCATGAACAAGGGCCGAGAAAGGGTCTGATATGATAAATGACATGTAATTATCTTTTTATCATATACTTCAACAGAAGAAATACAGACAAGAACTATTAATTAAAATTTTGTCTTTCCATGAATTTTTAGATAATAATTTACAGACAACCAAATACAAATGTCTTAACTTTTATTGTTTTTATTGATATTATAAGTATTTTATTTATCTTGTCACAACAATTAACATGTTCTTAGTTTGAAATTTGCTCCTCAACTATTTTGTGGAAAGTCTTAAATCACTTGCGGTTTTCCGCACTGTGTTGTCGTTTTCGAACAAATTTCCGGAAATGCACGACGTTGCATGTGATAAACGTCACGGAAATTAACGGAAAGGCATGTGATAACATTCCGGAAGCAGTCAATAAAGGTTCCTGTATCAGCCCGCTGTTGAAATTCTTAGGAATCTGATAAATAAACCTAGTAATCCTTTTAATATTTTTAAATGTTATTGAACTGTAACATTTTAGTAATATTTTATACAAGTATATGATAAATCAAACTATAAATCGACACACCTGATTTTAGTAATGTTTCAAACAGTAAATAGGAGAATGAAACGGAAGAAGTTAGTGTAAGTCTCTGTAAAGTTTGATTACAAGATACAGATACAGATAATTTCATTGACCAATCAAGGTGCCCTTTAAAAGGCAATATGATTACAATGTGATTCATAACATTATACACAAACTAAACAATAAACTAATTGAACAATAATGGTTCATTTGGATAATAATTATATTGATTATAGCAATGACATTAATGGGTTATGTATTGATGACATCATACTAGATTTGGACAAAGAGAGACAACTCCACCATTATCATATTTCAGATGCTGGTTTGATTTATGAAACACAATTTTTTATTACATAACTATCTTCATTAGTCATTAACCATACAAATTTAGTCTCTGGTTAAAGCTTGATAAAATTGTTATGTTTATAATTAAGATCATTGATGAATGGTTTTCTACAGTTTCCAAGCCCGACCAGGACAGTCACATAAATGATTTTCATCTTCAACTGTTCCTTTACATAGGTTACATTTTCTGTCTTGAATTTTTTAATTCAGATATCTACCCCTTTCTATATTTAAGTCATGATCACTAAGTCTAAAGTAGGTAAATAATTTTCGTTACTCCTCTGAGCCTATAGTCAAGCAAGGTTCAAGTTCATATACATATTTAAATTTGCTGTATGTTTTTAACTTATTTCTAACTTTGGCTCTGGTTTCATTATCATTATTTGGTTCTTAATTCCAAAGACTTATCAGTTAGATATAAAATATAGACTCGGGACAGTTTATAGTTTAACAAATTGTATAGACACTTGTCTACAGTGTTGTCAACAGTATGTTTACCTCCAGATGTCCTTCTAGGTTTTATGGTATCGTTTGATTGCTGTCTCATTGTCGTTTACCCTCATCATCCTTTATTCGTATTGCTTTTTTACTACTCTAATGGTTCTCTATGTAAGCGCCATGTCTATCAATTAAATCCCTAATTAAAAAATAAACAAGAGTGCACACGCTTAAATGTCTCGCCTGCTATACTGACCGTTGATTTTATGTTAATCGTCCTAAATATAAAGTTTTACTAGGATTATCACATTTACATAAACATGATCCAAGAAAATGAGGTCAAGGTCAGATAAACCAAGCCGGAAATAGATGTTCACCTCACAATCATTCCATACACCGAATATAGTTGACACATTGCTTATAATAGAGGAGAAACAGACCAAACCATGACTGAAACTTCATATTGACCAATAAACTATGAGAATGAGGTCAAGTTTAGATGAACCCTACCACACCGATATGTACACCTTTAAATCATTCCATGCATCAAAAATAGTTGACATATTGCTTATAGTATCTAAGAAACAAACTTAACCAGGAAAACTTAAAATTGACCAATGAACCGTGAAAATATGGTCAAGATCAAATTAAACCTGCCAAACTGGCATGCATGTATATCGTAAAATATTTCCATACACCAAATATAGTTGACCTATTGCATACAGTATTAAAAAAACAAAACACAAAAACTTAACTTTTACCACTGAACCATGAAAATGAGGTCAAGGTCAGATGACACCTACCAGTTAGACATGTACACCTTATTATCCATCCATACACCAAATATAGTAGACCTATTGCTTATAGTATCTGAGATATGGAACTGACCACGAAAACTTAACCTTGTTCATTGATCCAGGAAATGAGGTCGAGGTCAATTGAAAACTGTCTGACAGGCATGAGGTACGCACATACCAAATAAAGTTATTCTATTTCTCATAAGAGAGACATTAAAATAACAAAAAAATCTTAACTTATATTCAAATAGTCACTGAACCATGAAAATGAGGTCTTTTAAGTAGTTATTTAACGCCGCCGTCGCCGCCGCCGCCGGATCTCTATCCCTATGTCGCTTTCAGCGACAGAAGTCGCAGGCTCGACAAAAACTGTATCCTAAAGATGTAAAAACATAAAACTAGCTTAAACATAATTCTTTTTTTTTCAGGAAAACTTAAATCGAGAAATGTATGTATGGAAAGTATAATAAGCGAAAAGTAGAAAAAAGTTGACAGAAGACAAACCGATATTGAAAAGTTGAGAAAATAACGGAAAATCAAAATGGTCGCAACAATAAAAAACAGAATATCAGAGATATAAATAAACTTCCTTTTAGAAAAAAAAAATAAATAAAAAGATAAATAAAAAACACAAAAAAACAACCACAAAAAAACCAACATGAAGCTATGTACATATCCCATCTATTGTACCACTTAACAAAAGATGAAAATATACGAATAAGAAATAAGATACCAAATGCAAGGAAGTAATTACAAATAAGTATTATAAGTTACACAGTGTGCTAGTGACCTAGCTAATACAATATACATGGTGTCAGTAAATTCCATATGGTGTGAGAGCGAAGCTATACTTATACAGTGACTTAACCAAGTCAATAAAGATATTTAAATACTTTCTAAAGATATAAAAATCGGGTATTTCCAGTGTCACCTAACAATGTACAGACTTCCTGTTTATACCTTGCAGATGGAGAGCCGGTACACTAGTTTTGTGCTGCTGAAAATATAACCGACATATGGTAAGTATGAAAATCACCGTACTAAATGAAATTTTAGAAAAAAATAAAAGAACTTGTAGTTTTGAAAAGCAAACAGAAAACTTTTAATACATCAATCGAAGCTTAGCCACGTATAATCAAAGTCATTTCAGTTTTTGATACACTGAGCAAAGTAGAGTCTAAGTGATCACTCCGGATTTTTAACGGGTGCAGAATTCTGAATTAAATGCATATGATTGAGTTTTATGACGTGTAAATGACATGCAGAAAGTATCTACTACCATCTTTTGACATGCGATTTGCCCTACAACAACAAACTGAAAGAGTTCGAACAGCTACTGAGTTTTTACTAATTACATGTTCACTTGATATATATTGTTCCTTTGTAAATCTTTTTTTTTTAAATATTACTCTTAATGATTTAATGCACATCATGTAATGTCGTTTTCACATCATATATACAGGTAAAATCACATCATTTAAACGAAAAAGCACATCATATAATGGTGAAAGCACTTCATAAAATGGTAAAAGCACATCATATAATGAAAATAAATATATTAAGACAGTTTGTGCGTTCCATACTTCTAGGTAGTGTGGTCATCATGTACCGGGTATCACCTATCGTATTAACATGATCAGAGGTGTTTCTCAAACTTTACCTTTTATAATATCTCTAATTCCTTTTTAGGGACGACTTAACATTGATGATTTATAATTCTTGTATTTACGCAATACTTGTATGTAAAATCTAACATTTGAAAAGTCGAAAAAGTTGACAGTATACAAACTGATAACGAAAAATCGAAATAGACGCACACCGAAAAAACAGATTAGCGTTCTTCCCTTCTTATATCACCCTGCTAAGTAGTTCCGTAATTCTCGTATCACGAAAGCAGGCATTATCAGCGACGTCACGTTGTCTGAGGAGAAATTATCAGCGCGACATCACAATGTGTTAGACGTTTTCAAACTTGCTGTTGTCAAGCGTAAAAAACTATCTAAGGAAGGGGGAAATACCAGTACTAGAACGATACACAGATTATCCGGTTTTCTACATATAGATATCGTGAAATATCAGTCGTTCGACACATTGTGAAGCTGCGCTCACTCTCCAAAAAGGTTCACATTGTGGCTCGCGGCTGATATTTTACGACATCAATTTGTGGAAAATCCGATAATCTATACATATCAGCAATATCAATAAACTTCCTTTGCAAAAAAAAATCAACACAAAGACACGAAGTTATGCACACATGCTATCTTTTTTTACTTCTCCACAAAAGATGAAAATATAGGAAAAATGAATAAGATATACAAGGAAGTAATTACAAGTACATTTACTTATACAGTGACCGGCATACGAATAAATAAAGACATTTAAATACTTTTTATAGATATAAAAATCGGGTATTTCTAGTGTCAAGTAACCATGCATGCATGAAAAAACTTCCTGTTTACCTGGTAGATAGACATAATGGAGAGCCGTTAAAATAGCTTGGTGCTGCTTAAAGTATACCCGGCATATGGTAAGTATGAAAATCATTGGACGACTGAGTAAAACAAAAAAATAATTAGTTTTTTTACATGACTTAGTAATTTTGAAAAGAGCTGTTTGATACACGAGAAAGCAAACTGAAAGCTATTTCGATTGAAGCTTGAATGTCCTATGTATTTATTTATTTTTTTTTTTGATTCACCCAAGCAGGGTCTCAGTGATCACTCAGGATTTCAAACTGGACCAGAATTCTGAATTACATGCACACCAAGAGAACATGGGTGACGTGTTAATGATTTGCAGAAAGTTTAAAACACAATTTCAATCATCTTCTACCAACTTTAGACATTTAGTTTTTCCGAGAACTAAAAAAGAGAGTTCGAATAGCTACTTTATTTTTAATAAATACACTGGCATATATAGTTCCTGTGTAAATCAATATTTATAAAGTATTTCTCTTACTGGTTTAATGTGAAAAAGTCAGATAAAGTAGTTGATAAGAAATTATGAAAGTATTTTATCAGTATGCCATGCTTGTGCATGTTTTGGTGGTAAATAAATTTTGTACAAGCTGGGAATGGATATTATAATGGATTTTCCACTCATGTTTCAAATATACAGATGACTCACTTGTAATTAAGGCTTCTTTCTTTAAATGATAATAACTCTCTGGTATTTTTGGGGTGATATATTGATTAAGATTAATTCAAGCTATACTGTTGACGTCCTTAATTTCAATCATTTTTTTTTGGGGGGGGGGGGGGAGGGGGAGGGGTCTTATTAAATTATACTATTCAAAACAGTCCATATATATCTATACCGCTGTAGTTTTATAATACATGTATAAGACATCTCTACTTATTTTTTTTTACATTCAACCAGAAAACGCCCACGAAAACGTACAATCACGTCTAATAATGAGTATATCTTTTTTAATATTCATTTTGTCAACTGATAATATTATTAGTTACATATAGTGTGCTAGTGACCTAATACGATATATATGGGGTCAGTAAATTCCATATGGGATGATCCCCATATGGAATTTACTGACCCCATATATGCTGCATTTGGTCACTAGCACACTATGTAACGAATCTATTTTACCGACTATCTTAACATGTGGTATTTAGACTAGCAGCCTATCAAAGTGATCAAGTCTTCATACCATTAGTATTAAGAACCTACTTCCGTTAGTCTATACAAAAACAAATGCCAACAGAAACAACTTGTTAGCTTTAACTGTGTTTTATGAATTTATTTCAGTCTTTCATCATTAATTTCTTCGTCTGTTGAAACCTTTTTGAAATATTTTTCCTCAACACTGTGTTGTTTTTATAAAGGGACGTAACTCCACTACTAACCGTGTATTGCAATAAGCCCCGCCTACTAACCCAATATGGAATATACACGGTCTCCACGCGGTTGCTTTTATCCAATCATATTCATAGAAATGTATAGGAGGTAAGATAAACGTAATTATTGCTTATTTTTAAAAATGTTGAAGGAAGTAAGTTAACCATGTTAACGTTATATTTTTGTCAATCCAAATTTCATGCTTTTGCTCTGTAAGTCGTAAGCTCAAAGTTTTTCTATCCGAATTTATTCATTTGTATATGTAATTAAGTTGTGGGGCGTTGGTAATTAAACGATTCAGGCGATCAGGGAAAGATGAAAAAATAGATTCGTACAGGTTCACAATACAAAACTTAGATAACTTCGAAAGAAAAAAAAAGATTCTGAATACAAACATTTAGAAAGTACATCACAGGAGTTGCTTTCAGTCCCTGAACGTAATATTATAAATTGCAATCATACTTAACTTTTGTAACTCTTATATCAACTTTCAAAATTTCATCTTGTATATTACCGTATAATGTGTGTGAAAAATAATTTGTTTGTTTGTTGGTGTTTAAACGTTATGTCATATATATTAACTGAGTTTATTGGTGGAGGAAGCCAGAGTACCTGGTGAGACTCATCAACCTTCGCCAGAAAAACTGGCAAATTGTCAATGCTTTTAATTTAAGATCGAACTTTCAACCTTAGAGTTGACAGGCTAGTGATGACTGTAGATGAACTACGAAGACCACTCTACCTCTAAGGGACTGCTACCATTTGATTGTTATGGGGGGGGGGGGGGGTGAAATTTAAATAAAAGGCAGGACAGGAGTTTTGAGTAAAAAAAAAGGCAGGATGTCAATTAATGTAAAAAAAGTCAGGATAAAACTAATTAAAAAAAGGCAGGACCGAATAGAGTGAAAAATAAAAAGGCAGGACAGAGATTACAACTAAAAAAAAAATGCAGGATAAAATTTTTCATCCTAGCACCCTCCCCCCATAAAAATCAAATGGTAGCTCCCTAAGGGTCTGAGAACAATTGCGATTTGGTACACCGGTTCTAAATCATTAAAATGACTTCCCATTTCATTTTAGATTAAAGAACATTAAATGGTAATGGAGGGATGCGGTAACTTTACCATATATTTGTCTGACAGTGGAGATGAAGATGAAAGAAATAAATCAAAACGAATTATCGAACGCTTGGAGGGTTCAAATATTGGAATTATATATGGAGAAAGAGATTTTATACCCGGATGTCTGATACTAGATAACAAAAGAAATGCAGTTCTGAAGTCAGATTTAGTAGTGGTACTTTTGTCCGATAGCTTTATAGACTCGACTGAATGTGTTTATGATGTTGCTTTGGCAATTTGTTTAGAAAGACACATTATCGTAATAGACAACAGAAAAACAAGAAAGATGCCACCGTTATTAAATGAACTGCCAAAGATAAATGGACGTACAAACTTTGTAAAAGTGTTACAGAAGCTGAAACGAATGATTGATGGATATTACGTAGAGGGTCAGTAGTATATTTTAGACTATACCTTCTGACTTTTGTTTTTTTTTGGGGGGGGGGGGGGGGGGGGGGGAATGGGTTTATAAAAACAAAAACAAAAAAAGACTGATTTTTGTATGGGTCAGGAACATATATATTGATATACTTTTTCCAGTATGGGTATATAATATAAAGAAAGAACTAATTTGAACTCTATACATTTTGTTTAAAACTTTACAGAAAAGAATCAAACAAGGAATAAGAAAGACGATGCACAGATATATATCAGGGAAGTGGAACGAACGGCTACTTTAGAAAATGAGCAAGGATTTCAAAAACAGATTCTTCGACTCCAGGTTCAACTAACACAAATCCATAGAGACAAGAAAATAGCTAAACACATTGCGATTGTAGATGGAGATAAAGCCATTGACAACTTTCACCATGAACAAACAATTAGATACCAGTTGGAGAAAAGGATAAGAGAAATGGAGAACACTATACAGACACTCAGAAGGGAAAATATTTTGCTGAAGCATCCAGTGGTAAGTCATTATATCAACTATTGACCTGTTCTGAAAATGAGTATTTTCTCCTCGTATAGCATGTTTGCGCTGCCTCAACATCTTCGCAATTTAAATTTGACCGATGCAATACTATTTCTGAAATGGTCATTTGAGCTTTTCGATTATTCCATATGATTATTTAAGATAAAGTTTTTGACATAATGTTTGAATAGGAGTATGGCAAGCCGTTCTCGTCAAAACTATGTTTAAACCTTTTTTTCGAAAAAAATTACATACTGAGAATTAAAAAAACCACGCTGAGATTTAAAAACCTTATATAACACACTGATAAATCGAAATTACACACTGAATTTTTTTAATTACACACTGAGATTTAAAAAAATGAAAAACACACACTGAGAATTTAAAATTACACACTGAGATTTTAAAAAGACACACTGAGATGAAATAAGTTGAAAAACACACACTGAGAATTGTTAATTACACATTGAGATTTCAAAAATACACACTGAGATTAATATGCACATTACTAACGAATATTCATGAGATGAATAATTCAACAGATTAACATCTTGGTCTCCCGAACGCTCGTCATTATAATGAAATGCGGTTCCTTCAACCAACATTTGTAATAAATTTCAAGACTTAACATCGTTTTTTGTAACTCATATTCATAAGTTTGTTGCCTATAATTCAGATTATTACTAACAGTGTATCGGGATTTTTTGCTTAAAAATGTTTAAACGTGGGTCCCTTTTCAAAAGTCTTTCAACTTTTACCCTGATTTCTCAAGGTAATCTTTTATATTTTTGTTACGTTTATATTCTAAAATAGGCACTTGGGTAAACATTTCACTGCATTGTTTGTCTTTTTGCAGATAGTTCCAATGTTTTCTTATAATTTTAATAAAGTTTTTCACCATTTGGTTATATTTTGTAAAGAGAGTAAGGGTGTATTTGTCTTGTTCAATTGGTCTTTAATAACGTAGTTTTTCTATATGTTGTATTTCTAATGTTTTTTTTATAAAACATTTGGCGCCAAATTGAAGGACTAATGAGTTCTGTCCCCTAGTAGTTTTAAGCTTGTAACAGATTCAGATTAGGTATGCTAATTAGATATGTGCGCATAAAAAGTGCGCACAAATCTCAGTGTGTAATTTTAAATTCTCAGTGTGTAATTTCAAATTATCAGTGTGTGTTTTTCAGTTTATTTCATCTCAGTGTGTCTTTTTGAAATCTCAGTGTGTAATTTTCAATTCTCAGTGTGTAATTTTCAATTCTCAATGTGTAATTTTCAATTCTCAGTGTGTGTTTTTCATTTTTTTGTAATCTTAGTGCGTCTTTGTGAAATCTCAGTGTGTAATTTTTAATTCTCAGTGTGTTTTTAGGTTTTTTTAATCTCAGTGTGTTTTGTTTTTTTTAATTCTCAGTGTGTAAATTTTTCGAAAAATGGTTTAAACATAGTTTTGACGAGAACGGCTTGCCATATAGGAGTTCGTATTGCTCAGTCTTCTATGTTGTTTATTTAGGCTGTTGTTTGTCATTTGCTCGTTTTTCGTCTGAAGATTTTGGCTATCCCTTTGGTATCTTCTGTCTCTCTTTTGTCCATTCTTCGTCAAGGTATTTCTTTTTTGGTATACATAACAGACTGATATATTAATGGCATTCCAATTTCTTGACCTATTTATGATATCATGATAAAACAGTATTACAACTTTTTAATATTATGATGTAAATATTCTCTTATAATTTCATTTTCCATATATTACACTACGGTAGAGGTTGGGGAAATATTAAAATTGTAGCTCACGAATGAATAGAAGGGGGATTTATTTCTCCCATGATGCATGCGTTTTTTTAGTGTTCTTAAAAATGTTAAAAACCCGTGCTTGGACAAGACAACAGCGAGTCATTTGTTTTTATACCAACAAACATTACGAATAAAAGTACATGATGCAATTAAAACACTTGAAAATACCGGTGTATTGAGCCTTGCTGAATGTTGAGAAAAGTGCCCACCAATTGGGAATGCACAGAAAAATCCGAAGGTGATCTCAGGTGCTCCAGAAGGGCACGAAGATTCCGCTTCACATGTGGCATCCGTCGTGTTGCTCATGTAAGTATAAACCCGGTGATACGTCTAATTGGGTAGGTCAGATTCGAGGACAAATGGAACATATCCATCCATCGTATTCTGTGAAACAGATATTCAATATTACACAAGCTGCGTAAATAGCCTTACTTGGCCCTAAAACTATACAAAAAAGTAAAATTCTGACAATAAAGGTCGTATTATAAAAAATACTAGTAGTATGCCAACTCATTCGTCAACTATGTGGGAACATCAAACATTTCGTACTGTATACAATTTCAAGCTGCACTTCAATATCATTGTTTGCTAAATCTATAAGGTTTGCGGAACTATATTCATGCATGTATTCGGGGACACTATCTTTGCCTAGTTGATAAATATTATTATTTAAAATGAACTTAAACTATATGCATTAAAACGTAACGATATGGACCTTTCGGAGTCGTCTCCTTCGCAATTTCTTATACGTTAAACATAAAAATATGTCATAAATTTCCTTGCTCGCTTTTAAATATCAATATGCCAAACAGAAGGCACATGTCTAAATTAAAACATTTACTTCTAGATATCTGTAAGTCAGATGGATGATAAACCTTCACAGCAAACCCCATTTCAAGAAATCCAAAAACAGATAAATCAGGTTTTGATTGAAATATCAAATCTGAGTCATAAAGGTGTAGACAACCTGGATACTACATTCTACAGAATGCCGTCTGAACTGAAATCCTTTTGTCAAAAATATGAGGAAATGATTGGTGCGTATACAAATTTGTAAACCGTTTAAAGCCTAAGGGGACGACCATTTTATTTTCTGTGTTGGGGGAAGGGGCAGGAGGATTTTGAAAATGAATAATATGGCCTGGTAAGAACTGAAATAGATAACTTTGCACAAGACAGGATGAAAATACATATTGTGCAACAAAAAAAGCAACAAAAAAAACCTAAATAAAGTCGAGAAACCTAAAAGAGGTATAAGACCCCTGTAGTTGCATGAATAGGAGACTCCTCAATACATTTTCAAAACTGTGTTCATTTTATTGAAAAATCAATTGGAATATAAAAAAAGTCTGGTCACTTCAGTTTAGAAGTTTTATTTGAGATGTCGTCGTGACGGATTTAACATGTTAAGGTCAAGGAACACTAAATGGGCTATGTCACAGATTTTGGTAAAATTTTGCATACAACTTTAGTTCGTTGAACTGTAACTAAAAATCGAAAATAAAATACTGCCTTTATCTCTTTTATTTTTTGAAATATGACTGATTGAAATCTTTCAAAATAGGTGACCATTTGTATAGAAAGCACATAAAATCGGCGAAAAACGTTCTAATTTGTCTATAAATCATAAAAAAAACTCCAATTTCAAAAATCCATTGATTTTTCTGAAAAAACTATATGTCTTATAATACATTTGACCTGAATAAACTTTGTCACCCAGGTCCAAATATATGTCGACTGGGACGATTACTACATTTATCAAACCATCAAATAGAAAAGGTTGAAGAATGTAGGGAGTATGGTTATGTTGAAATGTTTTGGCAGACGATCAAGTTTTGGCAGTCAAATGAAAGCTCAGACGAAAGCTTTGTAACGTTACTGAACGCATTAGAAGAAATTGGTGTTGATATCGGAGGTAAGTTGCCCATCAGAATAAAGGAAACTACACGAGAATGGAAGAAAGACTACGCATACACTTGCAGAAGAAAAACCCAACAATACACAATTTAGTTAATGCCAACCAATTAATCAATGATGAGAGAAAACTAAAAAAAATATGGTTATCTCCAAAACTTAAAATTTACAAAGTAAGAGAAATTTTAAGACTGGTTATACAGCTTTTAGCAACAAATATGAAATGATATATGGTTATTAATTGAGCTTGAGATCAACATCTTCTTTATATTCGAAGACGACCAGGTAACCAAAAACCAAAGGCAAAATGACCCCCCCCCCCTTAAAAAAGAAAGACACACGCTCAAAACACAACTCTATCCTATCCCCCCCTCCCCCCAAAAAAATGGTGTCGAAAAACGAAGTTATAATCGTTTCGTTACACCTTTTGTAGTATTTTGTTTGTATGTATGTGGCCAATACCCGTCGTATGATTTCATTTACAGCGTATTTCTCTTCTAATCATTGAAAAGAAAAAAGGAAATTACTGAAAGTGAAAGGAAAACTATGTTATAAGATTTTGATGTACGGGGAGGGGAGACTATGTGAACGAAAGAACGTCAGAAGAAAAGGAATGAAAAAATGATTGATTTTACATTTGCTAATAGAAAAATAACTATGTGCATGGCATACACAAATTTAAAACACGTTTAATGAAAAAAAGCTTAACAACTTTTACAGAAATTAAATATTCTACACCCCTGCTTACTGTCTTTTAGGAAAGCCAATGTCAAAGACACAAGTGAGAATACTCCATGAGAAGATTCCATTCATCTTAAACAATATTTACCAAGTAACTGATTTGATACCATACCTTATATCTCAGCACGTTCTAACACACGTGACTGAGATGTTCATCAGAGAACCTAGGAATAAGGAGGAAAGACTTTTGCGTTTAATTAATGTTCTCACAACGAAACACTATGGAATAAAGGCCCTCTGTAATGCCCTCACCCATACCAATCAGAAATTTATAGCAGACGACATATCACGTGAGTGTATAATAATCTCATACATGCAACTTGATTTGCAATTAGAAATAACATTAATTTGGAGGAAGAAATTGTGTAAACCTATCAGTTATTTAATTCCTTTTATGAAAAAAATAAAACACATTTGCGAGAATGAAAATACAATAGATATCAAATGGTAAAGCTATAATCGGGATGAAATATTAATAACTTTAATATTAATATTGCATGTGTGCTAAAAAATATGATTTTATTGTAGGTTCGATGCCAAACATTTCCACAAGCCGTTTCCCTGTTGAAGTAACTGATGAAAGTTGCGATTCTCAATGGAGTTCAGATGAATCAAAACTACAAGTAGCACGTGTAACCCCAATCACCGCTACAGTAAATTCAGCAAATGCAAATGTGCACTTTGAACAAAACCATCAGTGTCAGAACATTGACTCAAGTATCACATGTGTTGATGGAATTGAGCAATTAACCAAGAAAGACTCTAATGACAAAACCAGAAAATCCCGTAAGGGGTGTAGTATTCAATAGTACAAATACCCTCACAAATGTTGTACATATAGTAGTCAGAGGCATATAGTTACAGTGCAAATTTTAAAGACTTGAGGAATCCTTTGTGTCATGAACTAAATATAAAAGTAGATTTATGTCATATTTTGAAAGGTACTCATAAATAAGACATTGAAGAGCAGATACCGTACAGAAAACAGATCATGGCGGTCGAAATCGATTTTTTGTAACAACAAATATATATTCTTTATTCCTCAGTTATCCTGTTACAGTCATATTTCACTGTTCAAGCTGCAGTGAAGTATCCTTGTGAAAATCGATTTTTCATTAACAACTTAGCCAAAATACCAGTTTTATTTAAGAAAACATTTCTGTATATATATTGTACTCTAATACATGAATATGGAATAATTGCCTTTGGAGGTAACAATTTTACTGCACCAGATGCGCATTTCAACAATTAGAAGAGTTGATAAAATCAAAACAATGCAGATCAATATACGTATTTCCATACCAGTACAAAGAGTAGTGTTTAACAAAATACATATCAGTTATTCCGCTTTGACCGACGAATATCGAATATCGCTTTAAACAGCTAAAACTGACGAAATATGCAATATTCCACATTTTTTTTTTTCGTCGCCTCAACCCGCCTCAACATATATTTATAAAACGTAAAAGAAAGTAAGATCACGATGCATGGTTAATCCTGAAATAAGCTTTCCATTTGAGAACAGCAAAGAAAAACTCTCAAAATTTACACCAAACAATCGCACATCGGCGAAAAAAAGTTCCGTTATAATTTTAATGAAATCATCAATATAATGCCAACCTTATAAGCCTATTTCCGTCACATGCCACTTGTCTTCATCATTCACTGTTAAAAAAACCTACGACATACTGTTCCACAGAATCAATGATAACGATTCAATTCAATAAAACGATATGTCTTTAATTATTATAAACACTCTGTGGTCAAGGAACCATGTGCTAATGGCCGCGAACAGATCGTTGTACGATTGTGGATACAACTTGGATTTGCTGGACTAAAGGAATATCTAAAAAGTAGTTCATATGAAAACAGTTAACTGAGATGAAAAAAAATAAAGATGATCTTTTAGATAGATGGAGTTAAATTCGACAGAAAAGGGTCTAAAATTAAAAATGTCATGAAATCTTTGTTCCTCTAAAACCAGTCCAAAGATACATATCTTAAAACTTGATATGTGTTGCAAGATCAAGAGGTAATTTATTTCATAAAGAATAAATGCTTTTCAATGCTAAATTTTGTCACCGAAGTCGTTTTGATTTTGAATTGGAAATGTTGCACGCTTCTTGAAAAAAAAAGATTTTCAGCGCTAAATTTTACCGCCAAAGCCATTTTGAAACAAAATTAGGAATTTTGCATGTTTTTTTGTGTTTTTGTTTGATTGTAAAAAAACAGAATGAATTGATTTGTTTCAGAAAGACAATATATAAAGTTACTTCTTTAATATTGTTGGTTTTGGTTGTGAATGTCCCTCATTTCAAATGTTGGGATAGACACATAAAACAACTTTGTCTCATTTTTTAGCGTCCCCTCTCCAAACAATTTTTCTCCGCTTTTTACCTGAAGTAAAATAAATGTCACAATCACTTTTTGTTTACTGGCTTTTTAAAAAAAAGAGAAATTTTTTACTTGCGTGTAAAAGGTATTCAATAATTGACCTCAAATCTAATAAAGACCACATCTTCTTATTTATAATAACCTGGTAGTGACGACAGCTTTGTGCTACTATAGCAAAATTCAGAAATGAGTCTATGGATTTATGATTATTACCAATTTCATATCAGGATATTACCCTTTAAAAGTGATTATTGATCAGTAAAACTGATATTACACACTTGACACGATTTTACTTCCCTTTTTATACTGAACGGTTCAAGTATTATAAAGTGAATCAAGTGTAAGCAAATATAAAGTAACTCTTTCCTACTGTTTATATCTTTATGATGTTATATAATTTATAAAGTCGGTAGACCTATGTTGACTTGGGTTGAAGCTGTGGCTGTTAAGGAAAAAAATCACAGCGTGTCATTACAAACAATGTTATATTGCTACATGTATATGTCTGCCATGTGCTCCACGAAACCTCTATTCAAACACAATAAACATCTATTTTATCAGCAATCAAAACCCGATTTCCGAGTCAATGTGAAACGATCTACTATAAGGTCGGCGTGACTCAGATGTAGGTACTAATCTTTGTATATAGAGTATATATAATCAACGACTATCTCCTCGTGAGGTTTTTACGATAAAAGAGACTATTTCAATTTTGCTATTTTCATATTTTCATTTCTATATGAAGCAACCTTCAAACAGCATCTGCTAATGGAGTAAATATAAATTGCTTTTGATACGATATGCAAGAGCTTTTGTTTTCTTTTTTCTCGGTAGGAGTTTGTTGCTTTCAAGTTAAGCTTCTTAACTAATGGTTCTTTGTGGTAATTGAAAATAAGGAAAGTTTTACAGACGCCATCATGATTTGGTAACCATTTTGAAATATCTGTGTTGCAGATGATCATATATATAGATAAGGTCTTTCCTGTCCTCTTTACGTCGTATATACATCTCGAAAAGCGAATAGACGAACATCGGTTTTTAACTGGTAATGTAAACGCTACAGATGCCCCTTGTGGAGCAGGAGTTGCTTACCCCTCCGGAGCACCTATGTTGTGTTTTGTGGACGTTTTAAAAAGCTGTCTGTTCATTTTATTTATTTTTCTATGGTTGTGTTTGTCTATCTTCGACTCTATGGTTTTTGGTTGCTCCCTTGATATCTTTTTTCCTTTGCTATCCATGCTGATATCAATTTTTTAGTTGCTCAATGTGCACCATAGTACGTTGAACAATTACTACATAGTAACTCTTTCACATACAGGGATATGATATGTGGTGAACTGAACGAGACTTCAACCCAATAACACAAAAACACTTATATAAAAGAAGAATAAATTGTTCTAAATTACTAATGAACTGTGTGTTCCTATGCTCTGACAAAAAACGATCAAAAGTTGTTGATCCTCAAACCGGATTCAAATTTTCAACGGGTTTACGACTATCTAGAATTTCTTTTGAGTTATTTCCCGTTGACCGTTCCGAAAATTACTCGGAGCGACATCATCCACTCTATTGGAGACAGATTAGAATAATCAATTAATGTTGCTTGTTTCTGGATCCTATTTGTTCATTATGTATTTTCTTATATAATATGATTTATTCATTTGCTAAAATATTGTGTAAACCAAATGACACACAGAGGCTTGGTTACTGGACTTCCTTGTTTCGAGTCCAGTTTTATCAAAAAATTACTACTACCACCGAGCTTTAACATATGGTACATTATCCTCTGTTGTATTTATGAAAACAATCCTATATTCACTATACGAATATAGATACCATATCAATTGCCCAGTCTTAAGTTTTCTATGTAGTGTTTTGTGAACTTGTTTGTCTTTTCGTCGTCTTTCTTTCTTTTTTTTGCCATGACAAAAGCAAAACGGACCAAAGGCAAAAGTGTCGGACAAAAAGCAAAAGTGTCGGACAAAAAGCAAAATTATCCGGACAAAAAGCAAAACGGACAAAAAGCAACGGACAAAAAGCAAAAGTGTCGGACAAAAAGCAAAAGTGTCGGACAAAAAGCAAAATTATCGGACAAAAAGCAAAACGGACAAAAAGCAACGGACAAAAAGCAAAAGTGTCGGACAAAAAGCAAATTTATCGGACAAAAAACAAAACGGACAAAAAGCAACGGACAAAAAGCAAATGTGTCGGACAAAAAGCAAAATTATCGGACAAAAAACAAAACGGACAAAAAGCAAAAGTGTCGGTCAAAAAGCAAAATTATCGGACAAAAAGCAAAACGGACAAAAAGCAACGGACAAAAAGCAAAAGTGTCGGACAAAAGTGCAAAATTATCGGACAAAAGCAAAACGGACAAAAAGCAAAAGTGTCGGACAAAAAGCAAATTTATCGGACAAAAAACAAAACGGACAAAAAGCAAAATTATCGGACAAAAAACAAAACGGACAAAAAGCAAAAGTGTCGGACAAAAAGCAAAAGTGTCGGACAAAAAGCAAAATTATCGGACAAAAAGCAAAACGGACAAAAAGCAACGGACAAAAAGCAAAAGTGTCGGACAAAAAGCAAAAGTGTCGGACAAAAAGCAAAATTATCGGACAAAAAGCAAAACGGACAAAAAGCAACGGACAAAAAGCAAAAGTGTCGGACAAAAAGCAAATTTATCGGACAAAAAACAAAACGGACAAAAAGCAACGGACAAAAAGCAAATGTGTCGGACAAAAAGCAAAATTATCGGACAAAAAACAAAACGGACAAAAAGCAAAAGTGTCGGTCAAAAAGCAAAATTATCGGACAAAAAGCAAAACGGACAAAAAGCAACGGACAAAAAGCAAAAGTGTCGGACAAAAGTGCAAAATTATCGGACAAAAAGCAAAACGGACAAAAAGCAAAAGTGTCGGACAAAAAGCAAATTTATCGGACAAAAAACAAAACGGACAAAAAGCAAAATTATCGGACAAAAAACAAAACGGACAAAAAGCAAAAGTGTCGGACAAAAAGCAAAATTATCGGACAAAAAGCAAAACGGACAAAAAGCAAAAGTGTCGGACAAAAAGCAAAAGCGGACAAAAAGCACCGTATCACTCGACATATGAGTTTTGAATGTCCCCTGAGTACCTTCCTATATCTTTACTCACAGACCGACACTTTGGACGGTAGAGGTATTCAGTTCCGACCAATACAACTATCGATATCTGTTGTTCTGTATAATTTTGTGTTGCAGTATTTGTGCTATTGAATGAACAATAATAACAAAAGATCGAAACTCTACACAGAAAAATATTTACTTACTTAATATATAGTTAATTCATTAAGTAGTAGTATATTTGCATTGATTCACGAATGATGTAAACATAATAGCATTATATGCCGTGCATGCAACATATAAGATGAATTTGTCTTTGAACTGGCGGATAACATTATCCTATTGTCTTTCTTATTCATAGTATAACAGTATGATATTGTCGTTGTTATTCATAGTATAACATATAACAAGTAGCTATGATTACACTATCCCCGAATGGTACAGTCACAGAAGTGTGTGTATCTGTAGAGTCATTCCAAAGACATCTACTTCCAACAGAAATTGTAGCGTTTTCTTGAACAATAGTCACGTGAACAATTATTCTAAAACGGCTGTTAAAGTACTCCGCTTTGATTCGTTGTCTGATGTCATCACTCAGTCTCGTGCAGAGAAAACCACGCCCCTCTGTATCCAAGAAATCCTCTTCCTCTTCGGAAACCATCTCAAGTATAGTATTTTTCATGATGCTGTTAACAATTTTGGTTGCAATAGAGTCATCTGGTGCCATTCTGTATGTATTCTCATAACGAATTTTAGGTTCCTCACTTGTTTCAGTCCGACTGCTGTCATCGTCACGTTTAAAAATGTGAGGAGACTTGATACCATTTCTCACTAAATTAGAAAATCTACTTAGCCTTGGAAGACGCGTTTCCATTTTGTCTTGTTGAGATATACACGCATTCTGTACTTGGGTTGAATGTACCTAGTAATTAACGCTTAACAGGCAATTAAATCTTTTGTTTTCGGTGTGAAAGTTTAATGATTGAAAAGATAGAACAATGATTAGTCAAGCGATGAATTTAGTTTGTGTTCCGTTACTAAACAAACAACAATAAAATATCGTGTTCGACAGCAGACCATGAAAGTAAAGAAAGCCTGTTTTCTTTTGTAGCGGCAAATTACACAGACGTTTGGGGATTAACCCTTTTTTTCTCTATATTTTTTTACTGTTTTATTTTTTGTTATGAAATATTTTTTTGTAAATGTTTTAACCTTTTTCAATAACTTAATGTATTTTGGTCTCTTGTGGATAGTTGTCTCATTGGCAATCATACCACATTTTCTTAATTTTATGTCTTCCTCTTATCCATACGCTATTACAATAACAGTACTTTATCGAGTAAGATGACCCTATATAAGAATAGAGGGTCATCATATTATGTAAAGTACTGTAATGTTAATATCGCATGGATAAGAGCAAGAACACATTAAATAAGTGAAAAAAGTTAAAATATTAAAAAACAAATATTTGCCAAAAAAATAAAACACTAAAAATAAAAATTAGAGTAAAACCAGGGGGGGGGGATTCTCTAGGAGCCTGTGGTAAATAATGCATGTCTTATCATAAATATTCTGTTTGCCTGGTAACATGTTAATGTCTTAATTCTTTTAATCTTACGAATTTCTGATGAAGCATGTTTTAATATTTGACAAGAATAATGACACATTTTACGTGAAGGGTTTATTATTTAAATAACATGCCGATTGTACAACGCATTACATGTTACAAACTATTTGGTAGTTTAGTATCTATTTAGTTAATCCGATTATATAACATATTTGCA